ATGGGGACTAGAATTTCAGAAATGTCCTCCATATGGCTTGGACCTGACATGTTTTGCGCAAACCTCTACCATCGTCTTCCTCCGAACATAACACATATGGGTTGTATAATTGTATTCAGGTTCGAACATAACGCATATGGGTTGTATTCAGGTACTTTTCAAGAAAAACTTAAAAAAAACTTAAAAGCGTTTTGAACTGTTTCCCGATATAAAAAGACAAAACGGGCAAAAAATCTAGCAATTCTCAAAATGTGCAAGAAAATAATTTCCAACAAACTCCATGTTATCACCTAAAAGACTAAGTCGTTCTCAGTAGATTGGCAAAAAACATAGCTCAAACAAGACTGTTTAAGGACTACAAGGCAAACTCAAATGTTAAAAAAACAGTTTCAGTGAATACTCATTTATAGAAATCGTTTCAACAGTTTGGTAAAAACCAAGCTCTGCAAAAAGTGATTTATAGAACTATAAATTAATATTAGTCCATTTTTAGGTTAACTGTAAAAACATTGTCAAAAAATATATGTTATGTAAAAAAAAAAAATTCAAACAGCTATTGCTTGGGAAACATCTTCAAATTATCAACCAACCACGATTTAAAATAAAAAAATGGAAACATATTTTAATAAAAAACACCAAAAAACAATGTATTTGTCCATGTATGAGAGAAAATATCCAATCGAACGTATTTGTGAACAGGAGAACATGCGTGCATGTTTGGGAACCCCCCAAATAGGTTCGTCATGCTACATACCTTAAAAACCATAAATATGATTTCTTAAGATACACAAGCTGGGATATTTCAGTTCCTTAACAAACGATGCTTTGTAGGGTAGTGATTTTTTGTTATAAACTTGCTTCTCTCCTCACCACTTCCAGTGGTTTTGAAAAATTACTTTTCTATTCCTTTTTTGCAGTTAATTCACTTCACATAAAATTTTATTCATGTAGGAGGCCTAAAAAATGTACTAGAATCTTTGAGAATTTGTGCAAACCTAACAATTTGTTTTATAGGTTTTCACAAATCCTCTGTTAATGTGCTTCACAGTCCTACTATGCCCTTCCTACCAGTGTAGGGTCAACTTTTCCAGACCCCACGGTTAAAGCACCGCTCTGTCGAAAAAAGAAAAAAAAAATACATAAAAAAAATAGCAGCACTATATCGGCAAAATTGCGGGTTCAATCCCTGTCAATCCCGTCACCTGAAATAATTAAGACAATAGAAAGTTGGAACTTTCTATCCATTTTATTACCGCACTGTCCACACCAAAAAGGGCGCGATGATACAGTTCTTAAGATAATAACTACAAATGCACTAATCTGTCAATATTAACTCCTTTTTTTTGTTCTTTTGGAAGTTCCAAGCTATATTCTTCTCTCAACTTCACCTTCAAAAAAAAAAAAACGGGGGGGGGAGGGGGGCCATTTTTCATAACAATAACAACAAATTAATAAACACACTGAGCATTGAGCTTAACGGCTCACCTGTGAGATTGAATGTGACGTTAGACGCCGTTACGTCGAACAAATTACTCGCATTTTCAGGTCGGGGAAAACTCTGGTCAAGCGCTGGGCCGACGAACTGAATCGTAATCGGGACACTGGGCCCAACAGGACCAACAGGAGAGAGCTCGACAGTATCCAGACCGAACTGCTCCTTGCCAACCAGAACACCACAATTGTGTCAATCACAAAACACAAGACCAAACGACACCCTTACCTGCCTCTCGGCTAGAAATAGACCAAATGGACCTTGTTTCCAGCCTGTTTTCTATCTCTTCTTCTGAGGACACTGGACCTGCTTTCCAGTCTGATACCCAAGATAGGATGCTGGTGAGGTCCCCGGCCTCTGTTCTTGTCCTTCAAAGCAAAGTTCAAAAAAAAAAAAAAAAAACCAAGGGACTCGCTGCACTACTCTCCAAATGTGCAAAATGAGACTGAATCCACCGCTAGAACATAAAAAGATGCATTGCCTTCTTTTTTGTCGGTTGTGCATTTGGAGAGTAATGCAGCGAGGCCCCAAGTGTAGTATCCATTCTGATCAGTGTAGTATCCATTCTGATCAGTTGCATATCAGGAAGAAAAAAAAAAACACCTTCCGGGTGGAATTGTGGGGACCCCGGCCCCGGTTGCAATATTGATTTGAAATGAAATGTCAGTTTTATTATTAAAAAAAAAAAAAAAAAAAAAAAAAAAAAAAAAAAAAAAAAAAAAAAAAAAAAAAAAAAACACCTAACTTACACACATGCACAGAAGCACAAACAGAACACAGGAGCCATACACACAGGAGGACTTTCCTGGATGTACCTGACCACTTTCACAGCCAGGCAGGGATGCACGAGACCGCTATGCACGTCAAAAAATGTGGCGCTGTGAGTATACCCAGGGCCCCGGAGAGTCCTCCAGAGGAGTTCTTAGACCCCTCCCCACTGCCAGCGACCTGCAACGTAAAAAAAAAACTTTTTTCTTGCTTTGAACAGATTGAATAGCTATCACGGTCGCCTGAGGGCCAGATCCCACTGGCAAAGAGGTTTGGAATAAGTGTCTGAATCTGGACATGTTCCACGAAGAGATGCAGAATAGTGACCAATCACAATTTTTCGCACCTGTCCACAAACACGTCCACATTCGGACACTTACTACAATCCTCTTTGCCAGTGGGATCTCACGTTTACACTCGAAAGGTCAAGCTCAAGCCTCCCTCGGACATAAGAAAGAAACAAGACCAAAGAACACCCAAAAGAAGATTGAAAAGCTACCATCTTCCCCGGAACACAACGCAGCCTCCTGATGTATGTATAGTAGTGGTCTTTCCGATCAGATACATCCATAATAAGGGCGCATAGTGTTCCAGGGACGAAGGCAGTCCACTTCCATAATCAAAGCCGCGGGCCCTTAGGCCTTTCTTTTTGGTTAAAAGAGGGCATGCATTCAAAATTTGGCATCATCATCTGGGGTACAAAAACTGAAGAGGCGTCCTTCGGGACATATAAAATTGGAACAATACAGAGAGAGAAGATTAGCATGGCCCCTGCGCAAAGATGAAGAGAGAGGAGTGCCGAGTGGATTTTACAGGACGCAGCTCCGCGGTCTCAAAACCATATTCAATTTGGGGAAAGTAGCTTTTTGCCCCGTTTGGGGGGGGGAAATTGGTTGGGCTTAAAATAACAAACGTTCCGGACCGCAGGAATTTATAACTTCTCCCAACCATATACTAACCACCTCACATACGAGAGATAGATTGATTGATAGACAGATAGATAGATATAGATATATACATGTGGCGATATAAATATATATATCGTCACAAACAGAACTGCCCGGTAACCCGTAGGCAGAGAGAGAGAAGAGGACAACAAACGAGGGGCTTGACAAACTGTTTCGGAGTTTCACCGACTCAGCAGGAGGCTGAACCCTCAACAGTCTGCAGAATCCCCTCACTGATTACACTGGATATATATATATATATATATATATATATATATATATCGTCACAAACAGAACTGCCCGGTAAACCGTAGGCAGAGAGAGAGAAGAGGACAACAAA